GGTGATGCTTTCAGGTAACACACAGAGAAGTAAGCACTTCCTGTTAATAAGCCTATCTTGTTTTCCCCAAGAACTAGTGTTCAGCCCCAAGGCAAGACCATGTTCTCATCCGGGTAACTGTATAATTATCTTTTGCCTTCCAAAGGGACCACGCATCCTATTAAACACAACCAAGTCACAGGACCTACTTAAAGGTGGCTGGTGCCACATCAAAGCATGGGGACTCTGTGCACACCGTCCCACATTCAGAGGCATGATGGAGTGCAAGCAGACCCCAAGCATCTCTAAAGGGCCAGTTGCATTAGAAATATTAATACAGACACAAAGGCAGTGGAATAAGCTAACTAGCATGAGCCCTCAGGACAAAACCAAGGTTCTTCAGCCAGCCAACAACCAGTCCTTCTCCCAAGCTCTCTAGCCCAGCCTTTTAGCTCCTCTGGCTTTTTGTCAACTACATTACCTACATGCTACACTACCTACACCCTTAACGACGTATCTGCCACTGTGCTGTGCCAAGCGGTGAGCTGGGGCACATTGGTGTCTCTGCTATCCAACTCCACACCTAGGGCTGGCAAAACCAGCATTAAAGTGCAGGGTGAAAAGGTGACACTGTCTCTGCTTCCAGATACAGTTCAGGTATGTCACCGTGTACCGCATGCGGTATCACCTCTGCAGGTAGCAGAGACATGTTCTGAAAAGGGACCGTCTCGGCCCATGCATCCTACCAGGGAGACACATCTGCAGACACAGAGAAAGAAAGTTTGTCATAAAAATCAAGACCATGCCACTAGGCTGGGTTGATTGCTCTATGTTGCCTGTAAAAAGGTCACTATCTACCTGAAACCAAAAAAGTCTGCAGGGCAAACCCCTAAGCCCCCTCCTCCAAAAAATCCCCACCAAACCACAACATTCAATTTTAAGAAAACATTTGCATTTGCCCTCAGTATGCAGGTACAATGCCTCTATTGATGGATACCATGTAGGTGACCTTGGCAAGTGGACCTATCCACTAGCAAAGCTGTGCATCAGCCTAGGCAAACGTTTGAATTTGAGGGCAGCAGGGCAGACCAGCCATTCTTACAGTAATTCTACATGGAAGGCAAAGTCCTGCTTTTAAAATGAACTCTTATAATCATTTATTATCTCTTTGCTTTTTAGAAGACTATGAGTGGACTAGCTCACTTGCATTGAATGAACCACTGTGCAACCTAATACTACTGAGGTGTGCATGCTGTTTTGTTTTGTTTCCAGCACGCACAGAAGCCAAAATATGCTTCCTCTACCCTGGGAACTACTGAACTGGAAAGTGAAAGTCAGGAAAAGCTGCCTCAAGAAAAATAGCATCGACCTACCTACCTGCAACAGGACTCAGCACACTATTTTCCTTTAGAAGTGAGCTTAAAGAAAGCAGCAGTGTGAGAATACTGCCCTGTGAGCAAAGATTTCATCTATCACAGCCTTGATAATTACCTAACCTTTTCCTGGCAACATCCAGCATGAGCTGATCCCAACTGTGTCCTTGTCCTACTCCTCTGTGGTTAGGGGTGCACAATATGATGTGACATGTTGAAAAGCCTGTTTTCATGGCTGGATGCATTCTAGTCCTACCCTCTGTATGATGGGGTAAGGAACCACACTGCACTTGTTGACATTTTTTTTCAGGAAGCAACTATAAATAGGCGCTGCTGGGTTGATGGCTAAACCTCAGCTTAGGACAGGACAGAGATGCTTCCTTGATAAGGCCAGAAAGCCATCTCTCCTTTGCAGTGTGGCAAATGAAAAAAAGAAAAATGTACCCACACGTACGTTTATGGGACTTCTATTCTGGCCAGGGCTTAGTAACAAAAAGCAGAGTTTCCTTGATGTGAGGAGCAAACTCACTGAAAATTTCAGTTGCATCATGGAAATCATCCTATGAGAGCACCAATCCAGCAGTAAGCCTGGTTTTAACGTGAAAAAGTTGCACGTAACCAAAACAAACTATCTGCCTCAGGAATCCCATTCTCACGGATTCACAACAGCAATTGCAGAAATACTGCGCTATGGCAATTTCAAATTGCATATGTGTGGCCGGAAAAGGAATCAACAAAAACCTGCTGTTAGCTGTTACCAGCACTGTCACCCCAGGCCAAAGTGACACATTTCAGCTACTTCTCGATGAACTTTCAGTGCCATCTCTCAAGCCTCTCTGGCATTTCAAAGGAGAGAGGACCCAGCTTTTGGCAGCACTTTTGGCAAAAGCAACTTGACTCACTGGGAGGACACTGATTGTGTTGGTAAATGCAGACTCTCTCCTGAACTGCTTAATCTTGAAGGGGGCAAGGAAAAATACAGTTTAGCCCAGAAGAAAACCAAATGAGCCAGGGTATTCTAGCCAGAAACTCTCTTCCCCCGTTGACTCTGGGAATCCAGAAAGAGGAGGTGCATTGAACAGCTTGTGGCAAAACACTTTCCGGTTGGGCTTTTCCTGGTGTCTCTCTCCCCTGCTCCCAGCTTCCTAAGCAAGCACTCACATTCTGATCATAAAATCTCCAAACCCTCTTACACAAGTGCAGTGATCCCCTTCTGAGTATCTCCTTCCACCCTGCAGACTCCCTCCTGGAGCTCGGTGTTCCTGACCCGACAGAAGGAACTTCAGCCCAGGACAGCCGCAGCCAGCAGCGCTCTCCTCTTACATCTTCCAGAACAGAGCTACTCTGACTAATTTTAAAAAAACAAGTCATCCTCCTGCAAATCTGCCCTGTGCAGCTGAAGCTACCTGACTCCACAGCTCAACAAGATCAAAGCTTGTGCAGTTGTTCAAGGAGCTTTTCAATTGCTCCTCTAGTTTCTATCGTGAATTACAGCAGCACTTGAAGAGTGCCAAAACCCAGAGAGATCGATTACTCCTGCCCTGTGACAGACAGCAGGATGAGGGGGACAGGACAAGCTGTAAGCACAGTGGCCTTACATTATGCACAGACACAGTTTTGCTGCTGAATGATTGACAATAACTACTGGATGCCACTATTTCAAGGCTAATGTCATTTGCGTAATTATCTGGCAGGGTCTCTCTTCAGCGGCTGGCATTATTCACAAGGGAAGAATTAGACTGAAATCCAGCTGTAGAGTAAGTAGATTTGCTATTCTATGCAGACAATCACTGTGCTTTAGAAGCTCAATACAGATGGTATATATCACCAGTAATTTTCATACTCTCAGGACTCAGTGTATATTAAAATGACACTCCTTCTCTATTTCGCTGTGCCACATATATCATATGATTTCATACTTAAAAATAATTTCATATTCTCTGTCCTCACCTGACCATCTGTTTCTTACTGCAGCTCAAGCTAGGAAGAGAAAGAGAAGTTGCTTTTACTTGACTTAGGCTATCATCTCACCATCAGATAGGAAAGTGTCCCTCGCACTGCTCACAGCCCTTTGACCAGTTTAGTCCTCAGCTATTCTGGATTTAGCGTGTTCTAAACCTGGCATTATCTGATACAGGAGGATGCACTACTAAACACAGGACTGCATCGCTTGGGTTAAAACATGCAAAGCTCCAAACCAAACAGCATTTGGCTCAACCCACAGTCTGAAATGGTAGCAACGGAGCCTGACTGGGATTGGAACTGGTCCCATTGTGGACCCAGTTGTGTGTTCCAGCTGTACAACTGTAACCAAGCAGCAAAAAGAGAAAATTGACGTTATTCTTTGCAGGGCTGGCATGCCACAAGTGGGACTGAGCAGGGCTACAGCAGCCCATACCCAAATATGCATGCTTTGCTGCTGGAACCCAGCTAACAGTATTCCAAGGAAAACAACTGACTGTTCCTCCTTTCCAGTGCTCTGGGCAAGAGGATGCCAGAGGTGTTCTGCAAAGTATGTCAGAAAGAATCCTTTCTGTATAACCAGACCGTCTCAGTGCTGACATGTCCTGATCTAGCTGTCCTGTTCCACCCCAGAAGAGGTCTTGCTTTGCCTCTGGCATATATGGGAGGATGCTGGTCAAATGGTCATCTTGGCCAGGGGGGCCTCTGCAAAGCAGACTGGCTGTCTGATCCATGCTGGCTGGTCTACGCCTTGATGCTCGAGCCGATAGGGGAGCGCTTTGGCCGTACAGAAAGGAAAAAATATAACCAAACTCCCTCCTGAGTACAGAATAACGACAAATAAAGAGAGAGCTGCATATGGGAAATAGCTTCCCAAGAACAACCTGGAGACCTGGGCATGGAGGCTGACACAGGGAGGCAATGATGCTCCAATCCTGTTGCAAAAAAAATTGCCGGACATGGAC